TGTTGGCCTTTTGAAGAGAAGAAAACTCCCTCTTCATCTTAGCCAACTTCTCTCGATTTTCGAAAGATTGAACAGAGAAAGAATGGGCATGCTGGATGGCCTGAAATTGAACAAAACAAAAGTTATTAGAAAATTTCTAAGTATGAGAAAGAAGGAAAAAAGTGCCAGATGAGAGACACTTACTTGAACAGAACGTTGAAGTATTAGAGCGTAATTTTCATACTCGCTCAACTCGGCGTTTCGGTCAAGATCGCCGGGGAGAAGTAGAGCAGTACTGAGGGCTACGCCGACATTGATATCCTCGGTGCTATCATTAGCCATGACTGGCTTATCTTCCAAGGTGATTTCGGGGGCCCAGGGGGCATCAGGTTTTTTAGACCCTGAGGTTGTCGCAGAAGATGACCTTGGCTTTTTGGATTTGGTGGATTTGGATGGAAGTGTTTCAGCGGACCTCTTCGCGGGGGTAGAGGCAGTCTTCTCACTCGGAGCAAGTTTTGAAATTGGCAGGATATCTTCAGAATCAGTCTGAGTCACCTTTGCCTTGGTCTTAGCCTTTTTGGTTTGTTTTGGCTTTGGTGGAAGCTAGGTTTGTTTTGGCTTTGGTGGAAGCTGGGTTTGTGTTGGTTGTGCATCAACGTCAGAAGGGATGCTGGCCAAGAGGTCTTTTGCGATTGGTTTTGGGCGACCCATCTCGGCAGAAGAAACTGTTCGACGTCGACGGCGGCGTTGGGATATTGGAATCAGGTATGGAGCCGAGGTTGACGGTTGCTCAACTAGATCAGAGGTTGACCCTTGGTCTGTCCGAGATGTGGACGCGATTTGTGGAGTTGTGGCAGAGGGTAGAGAAAGGCTTTTCTTCTTCCTCCTAGGGACGTCAGGTAGAGCTGACTTGTATGTTGGAATAAAATTAAGAAGCAGAGGCGCCGTTCGTTTATGGACTGGCAGGGCCAAGAGTTTCTTCAAATCCTTGTTGGGAATGAAGGATTGGCGAAAGTTTTTTGGTGGCTTAGGAACAGCTGCAAGAAAAAACAAACATTAAGAAATAGATAAGGTATGAAAGACTTTAAAAGACAAGTAGGTATGAATGCAGCACTCTTACCATTGCCCTCTATAAAGACTGATCGAATGAGAGGGAAGAGATAGAGGTCTTCATCTGGGGTGAACTCCCAGTTCCCCAAAGTAATGCAATAATCGTCCTCAGCTCCCTTGTTAGAGTCAGGGAGGTCGGCAACGATTTTGTATTCAGTGGACCTCGACTTGAGGTAGTAAACGTAGCCAGTGTCTTTTTTAAGGCCACACATACTGTAGCAATATGGGATGTCAGCTAATGTGATCCTAGCGTTTTCTTGTTTGGCTAAGGCTATGATACTATTGATGGTTCGATAGGAATTGATGGAAAGTTGCATCGGGTTCAACTTGTAATAATGAAGTATTTCACGGAAAAGGATGTTGAGTGGGAGCCGAAGTCCACACTCAATGAAAGCTACCACAGGGAAAGGCATGGAGTCATCAGTAGGCATGATGGAGTCATCATCCCCAGCCAACCTCAGATGGACGTCGGCTGGGATTTCAAACTCTTGTCTAAAGAATTCTAGTTTGGATGGGGTGTTTACCCTATGTTTCCATATACCCATGATGTCGGCTTAAATGGAGATATCAGATTTCAAGAAGAAGAATTTTTGGAGGTTTAAAGGACCTCGGCCAAAAACCTAAAAGTACACTTTGGTAAGAGTTTGTATGGATCTAAAGGGAGTTCGTTTCAGTTTTTTCCTAAATTGTGGGTTCTACAGACAAATCCCAAACCTAAAGCTATGGAGATGAAGATTGAAGGAATGAATCTGGAAAACAGAAACAAGAACGAATTTCAGAATCAAGAACTGAGATGGTCTATCAAGAGCATAAAGAATACAAGAAGTATAGGGCCAAGAACAGTGGCAAAAGTACAGGGAAGTAGTGAAACAGTGCATGTGTTCAAGATATGGGCAAGGGCAAAATCGTGAAAAAAACACATTCAGATGTATGATTCACAAGTTAAACATTTGAACAAATGCAGTAATGGCAGCAAGTAATAGAAAGTATCAAAGAAATTGAAAACGAAAGGAACAGTAAACTCACCAAAGAAAAGAGGCCGGTGTAAGGATCGCCGAAGTCAGTCAATGGTTACAGAAGTAACAGAACGGCAGAAGCTTCACCAGAAGGAGGAATGAAGGCAGTTGCAGAGCTTGAGGTCTGGAACAATGGCATATTCAAGAGCTAGAGAGAGAAAAAGCAAAGGAATCGAATGAAAAGTAAAAAAAAAAAAACGAAAGAGGGAAACAAGTTTTGTCAAAAACTTGAAACGGCGGCAAAAGAGGGCAATTAATGCACCTGGAGCAGCGAATGCGTCAGACAGCGCATGCAGACAAGACGATTTTTTAGGCGCGTCGCAGGTACGATCCAATATAGAAAAGACGCGTGTCATAAATGGTTGAATTATTGTATGACAGCTCATACGCGTGAAAAGGTTCTTGAAATTCTTGTTCTTTAATGAAGACATGTCGGCCAATATAATGATCTCGGCTCAGATACTGTAAATCGACGTACTGGAAGAAAGGAATGATATAGGTTCCATCACCTCATAATGCCAAGGTAATAGAACCTAGGGGGCAGTTGTGGAGATATATTTTCTGAGTACCAACACGTGGCTAAGGTGACGCCGACGTATTAGCTGAGGTGCCACGTGTCCAAGACAGGACGCCAAGGTGATCTCGGCAAGGCCGAGGTTATCTGCGAAGATATCGAAATTCGAGATAAGCGGATAAGGGACAAGAGTCCTAGAATGGGAGAGGACTTCAGTTTAGATAAAGATGAGACTCTTGGAGAGTTTATCCTAATTCTACTAGGAGTCCAAGATTAGCAGTAATCCTAAGTCCATTAGAGCTAGGCTCCTATTGGGACTAGGATTGTGTTGGCTATAAAAGGGAGGCACCCCCATGGGTCTAAGGTATACTTTTTATGTTCAAGCTAGTGAGTTTAGCACTATTGATTATTTTCGAGAGATATACTGACTTGATCGTCGGAGTGCCCCCGGGTGGACGAACCACCGCCGAAATCTTCTCTTTCTGTTACAGGTTAGCCATGTGTCATCTATTCTGCCAGTGTTCTCCAGCTCAATACTGAGTTGGGCAGTGTGATCGGAAAATCACTCACACAGTATGGATCCCTCAATAATGAATACCCATTGCAGCACAGTTATAATACAAAAAGCTCTAAATCATCTCCCAAAAAAAAAACCTATCTTCAAATTCTAAACAGTACAAAATTTACCCCAACATCTTTTTTATGCAAATATTCTAATATTCTGACATGTCATTCATACTACAAAGCATTCAAGCATGCCTTATGCTATTGGTCTACAAGCTTAAGCTCTCACATACTTAGACACATGCTACTTCCACCAAATGGAGTTAATTGTAGAGCATATGGTTGATCAAATTACCAACTCAGTTATTCAGAGTTGAACCAAACACAAAAAGTTGAGCTAACTTCCATACCTAATATAGGATACATCCATCATGGAGAAAGATTGAGAAATCCCAGAATAGAGACTCCAACCAAAAGCTACTATTGAGGGCTCCTAACGGAGTAATGGTAAGTCAAAAATGTGGAGTATTAAATAAATAATTACAGCCCATGATTCTCTCATGTATTGAGAAAGTAAACAAATAATGAATTAACACAATAATTTAACAGTGAAGGAAAAACAGAATTTTATTCTCAACTAGAAACCATGATCCTTCAAATTAAGCAATTTGAGGTTATATAAGCTGAATCTTTCCCATCTTCAGCGGTAGTTTCTACCTTAGCTGGTCTCACTGTGTTTCATTCTAATTTTTTTTTCCTTTATCTAATACAGAACTCATAAACACTATCTTCATAGTAGGGTCTATAAGTCCCACTCTGCTCTTGAATTTAACAATTATATTTATAAAGGTCAGATTTCCTCAACCTTGAGATTCAGGTGTTTATTCATCAAGAAGTGGCCTAAATAGAAACGAATGAAAAAAATAAAATTCGTACCTTTTCCCTTGGAATTCCAACTTTAGATGCAACATATTTAGCAGTGCTCATTTTGTCCCCAGAAAGCATATATAGGCTAACACCTAGCTTATGCAAGGATTCAACAACATGTCTACCATCTTCTCTGATCTGATCCTCAACATAAATAAGACTTGCTAGAGTACCATCTACTCCTACATAGACAAGTGATTGATTCTTACCTATATATACACACACACATCACAAATTCAACACCCAAAATCAACTTACCAGCGAACTAAAACATAAACACACAATCAATTAAAAGCCTTCAAACGACCAAACCTGTATAAAAACATACACACAACACACACAAAACACAAAATCAATTTATAAACAAACTAACAAGTAAACACCAAATCAACAGAAAGGACACCATCTATATAACACAAGTAAACACTCTAATGTGTCCATCACAAGCTAATTAATGTACCTAAAGCAGCACAAACCTAGTTCCATCACAAACCACTAATTTAAGTAACTTCCATTCATCATACTGAACTTTATCGCTTTCAACAATGGTAGTTCAAAGAAAAAAGTAGATGATTAATTTTCAATGGAAGGGACTACTTTTTCCAGTGGCAAACTTTTTCTTAAGGTTTTTTGAAGCATCGCTAAATTTGATACTTGAACAATATTCCCTAAACAAACTAGCTCACACAAGAAGTTCAAAAGTAGGTGAACATTAAACAATTCAAAAATGTGGTCAAGGGAATTTATTTCGATTCTCAGTTCAAAAACGCATTAAATTATCCAAATTTAAATCTCATTCTTTGTGGCAATTTCCTAAGTTTGTTGTATACATTTCCAACATCAAAATTTCATAAGGCTAAGTTTGTTTTAGCCAAATAGTGAAAAAATTATTTCTGTGACAGCAAGCATTTCAAGATTTTTCTATTGGTAACCAAGAGAAAATTGCTAACCTGGCCTTGAGCAAGACCACCTTTTCCCCCTCCACCCTTCCCTTTTAGTGGCTTCAAAGCTGCCACCAACCACTCCAACACCTTTAATTGCTTACATTTATCTCCTTTCTCAGGTACCCCAGCATACACCAAAGCTTTGTTTGCAGTTTCATCTGTGCTGAAAACCATAACCGCTATCCCCTGTCATTCACAGACTAGTCATGCAAACTTCATACAGACATATAAGAGCATTATGACAAAATAAATAAATAAATAAATAAAAGCATTGGGACATATTAGCTGGAAGGCTAGAAACTGTAAACAACCTTCTCGTCCATGACTTTGACAACCGCTTCACGCATTGTTGTAGTGTCCAAACCAACATTGACACGTGATATACAGAAAGCCTTTCCATCAGATGCAGCAACTTCTGCAGTCTCAATTGCAACCTTGACAGCTTTCTGTATATTCTCTTCAGCAATCTTTTTTTTTGCTTTAATCACTTGATTCTAGTAAAACATAGCAATTTAGAATCAACTTCGACCTATAGATACATAAGCAGCAGGTTTGGTTATCAATAGAACTGAAATAGGGTAATTTCTTGTTCAGCATAGATGAAAACCTGAAGCACAGATACTTTGGCCTTTAGAACAAACACCCTTTAACTAAAAAAGTGAGTACATGGGAACATAAATATAAGCAGGCGCCAGACTACGTAACATATGTTCAAATGAAGAGCTTATTCAACCATCTTCAAGATTTAAGGCATACTACTTTCTCAAATTCCTATCAAGTGCCCATCCACCAATTCTAATGAAAAATAGACCAAGAATAGAAAAAACACCAGGATGGTTGAATAGAAAAGGCAAGCTAGAAAAACACCATTTGGAAAAGTAATAAGCTAGACCAAGAATAAAAAAACACCAGGAAGCTATTGGTTTGCATGTTCATCACAGGCTAAAATGTCAAATCTATCAATTGACAACTAGAAAAATCAACTACCTGGGTGCCTTGGTAAAAGGAAAAGTTAGACATGTATAAACCTCAAAACCTAAGTCCTTCCAACACTTGACCTTCCAATAAAGACTGGTATGAGCAAAATATATAAGGAAAGGATACAGAAACTACACCAAGTCCAAACTATACTAACTGCAAATCTGATCACCAGATGAACAAATTCTCAAACAACAGTAATATAACTGTAAGCTTTCAAGTAGTTTAAAATTTAATTGTTTCACAGTGAAGGAAGCACTAAAAGAACATTCAAAGCATTAGACAAATTATACCAAGAGACAATAAGATTGATAAACTTTTCACCAAGTTCAACATTAAATCAAACTACATAAAAAATACCTAAATTGCTAGCAAGGTACTTCTATTTATTTATTTGAATATTTATCTGTCAAAAGCACCAAATCCTTCAATTCTGCTAGAGACAGGAAGCATGAACTTGTACATATCATTATTTTCTCGACAACCAAACAGAGTTTCAAAAGCAAAAACACCATCACTAACTTGAAATTTTCGAACCCAATTTCTTCACCTTCAAATCATCCAAACGGGATTTGGGTTTGACCTCAGATGCATCAAAAACCGAGCGACGAGTGGTGTCTCTTCGTTCATGGCTTCTCAAAACTATCAATTGGGTCGATTTGCCACAACAAGATGTATAAACCTTAGAAATTGGTGGTGTGGTGGGACATATGAGAGAGAGTATGAGAGTGAGATGAAGAGAAAGAAAGAGAGAGAGAGAGAGAGAGAGAGAGAGCACCATTTGAAACCCCTCCCTTTCGAAGCCTCTCTTTATTTTTACCAGTGGACAAGTAGTCGCGACAATTGGATTTGGAGTCGATGTTGTGCATTTCAGATCGAACATTCATGGAGATTTCGAGATCGGGGATTCAATTGCCGAAGATGATAGTTAATAGATTGGGATTGGTGAGAATGATTTTGGAGAAGTAAAAATTGGAGGTTTGGAGTTTGTCGAAGGTGAAGATGAATTTGATGAAATCGGATTTGAGAGGGCATTTGAGATCGCCCTCAACGATCTGTTCGAGGACGTGAAGTCAAGAATCACGAAAGAAGAGGAAGAAGTCGATTTGGGAGAGATCGGGCTTGGGGACCAGTCTCGACAACGAGGAAGATGATGAAGAAAATGGAGTTTCATGGTATGTTTTGAAGGTTGAAGGTTAAAGCCAAGGTTGGTAGTGACTTGCAATTGAATAATTTTGAGACCAACTCAGAGGTTGATTTTGTGTGTTAGGGCTGAGAGTGGGGCTTTTGATTATTATTTTTTTTTATTAATTTTTTTGAAGAATTGGTGCCAGAAAATTTTACTTTGGCACTATTTGTTTTTTTGGTTATACCTTTCATGACATGCATTGTGCGTCATAAAAAGGTAATACTTTTAATGACAGGTGATGTGTGCGTCGTAAAAAGTGTAATATTTTTAACGGCGGGTGTTGTGTACGGCGTAAAAAGTGAAGTATTTACTTTTCACGGCTGACGTATGTGCGTTGTGTATAATTGATGTATCAACGGTATGTCATATGCACGTCGTAGAAAGTTTTATTATTTACGGCGTGCATTGCAAGCCAGAAAAAAATCATCGTTATTACCATTCATGATCTACGCAGTAGACACGCCGTGGTTGAAAAAGTATTTACGACATGCAAAAAAAGCAAGTCGTAAAAGTGAGAAACTACGGTGTGCATTTATTGTATGCCGTTGATGTGATGCCGTAAAAAGTCAGTTTTGTTGTAGTGATTGCTATATGTTGAACCATGTAAATTTATCTATATATATGTACTAGTAGTACCCTGTGCTATGCACGCGATTTTATAATTTTTTTTTTTAAAAAAAATCATTATAATTATCTTGAAATAATCTAATTTGTTTTGTGGTATACATGAAATTTATAAGTTAACTTTTATGTTTATAACTTTTTTAATTATCAGTTTCAAAAAATATATATATTTATTTAGTGTAATTTTGATAATTTGTATAAAAAAAAAGTTAAACCTGATTAAATGAGATTAAATGAGTTATGGCATACCTCTTCTTGTTATAAGTTATAATTAAGACAGATATACAATTTTATTATTAAATGTGAAAACAATAATTAATATGATGTTTTTATTATTAATCCAATAATTTTAAGTTACATTTCTTTTTATTTCAATTTCATAACCAAAAATATAATACGAATATAATACACATATGGATTTTTAGTCTTTAAGAATAAGATTTAAAAATATTTTCAAACTTTCATCATTTTCTTTTAATTTTTTGTTATCTAATTTGATTTTAAATTTAAATAAAAATTTTGATTTGATATAAATTACTTTAACTTTTTCATCAAATTTTTATTAATTTTTAAAAGAACTTTCATTATTTTCCCAATTTTTTATTTTATTTTCACCAATTTTAATGAAAAAAATAATAATTTTCAACGTTTCATATTTTAAATTTTTTTTCAAATTATAATTTGATAAAAAAAAATTAAGGGTTGAAGATTCTCTTAATGGGAATTATAGTGAAATAACATCTTGAAATAGTCAAAGTTTGAATATATGGTTGGTTGAAATGTATAATTTAATTAATTATCTACTCATATTATTATAAAAATGACGCTTATGACTATATCATTATAAGTCAGATTATGGAAAAAAAAATTGAGGTTTCAAGCATTTTTCATTTGTAAATATCCTACATATTAAAAAAAGAAAAAAAATATGTAGTTTTTGGATATGTGTTTATCAGTTTTGTTTTATAGACATAAACAATTGATGTTTCAATTTAAAAAATTAAAAAGTTAAAAAAATAGATTGGATTTTTTAGAGATAAAAGAAACCATTTAACTCTTCTATATGCTGTTTAAGGTGGACTATTTAATCACATAAAAAAATAAAAATTATATTTAGAGATTATTCTTATATGTTATGCTATTATATACAATTATAACTATAACAAATTAACTATAATATATATGAAAAGTTATATTAAGCTTTCATTTTCAATTAATTGAATTATAATTAACAAACTAACAAATAGCAGTAATGGTATAACGGGATAGAAAGAGGATAAAAATAAAGAACGCAATGATATTTAAAAATTTTAAATTTACCTAGCTATACAAAAATGTATCGTTATAGTAAAATCTTGAATTCTCAATAAATTTTCACATTTTCTATAAAATAAAATAAAAAAATTGATACCCATTTTTTTTACTTCAATTTTATGGTCTTTATTGAAAAAAACAAAATCCGATCAAAATTTTTGGCACAAAACGAACATAGATACTTCGATTGCAACCACAATCACCAATAATTTTTCTTCATCATGCAAACCTATAAATAAATGCATAAACCTTATTAAAATTGAAACCAAAACAAACTAACAGCAAAGAAAGATAATCACATACGAAAAAAATAAAATTAAAAAAATAAATAAATTTATGAAGTGGAAGAATGTTACCTCCAACAAATTATATCTCACCCAACCCAATCCGTTATCTCCTCCGCCAGTGCCCGCGAGGTCTAGGAGTTAGGATTACTAGTCAGATTATTCTTTAAATAAGACATGAAAGTTGATTAATTTGTCCCATTAAGTGATTTAAAATTTTGATAGATATACATCAGAAAAATATATAATTATATTACCAAATCATAATTCAAATTTAAATATTGTCATATTTTTTTGAGATTCATATCTAAATTTTTATCTTTTTAATTTTTGTGTCGTTTCGATTTGGTTTTTTTTTTTCTTTAATTTATTTATGATGCAGTTGTGGTTTTCTATTTTTTTTTTAATTTAATTTATCTGTGGTTTCTATTTGTTTTTAAATATTGTGTGGGTGATTTTCCGACCACACTACCCGCTTAGTAACCAGCTGGAGAGCACCAGCAGAATAGATGGCACCTGACTGACCTGCAACAGAAAGAAAAGGCTCTGGCGGTGGCTCTTCCACCCGGGGGCACTCCGACGATCAAGTCAGTATATCTCTCAAAGATAATCAAGTGCTAAACTCACAAGCTTGAGTATAAAATTGCGTACCTTAGACCCATGGGGGTGCCTTTCTTTTATAGTTTACTTAGTCCAAGTCCTACTAGAAGCCTGACTTCTATGGACTCCAATTTAGTACTTACTTTGGATTCCTCAAGAGATAAAGATAAACTCTCTAAGAGCTTTATCCTTATCTTAGCAAAGTTCCCTCTTTTGTTCCTTATCCGCTTATCTCGGATTCCGATATCTTCAGAGATAACCTCGGCATCGCCAAGATAACCTCGGCACAGCTACCACGACACGTGGCACCTCGGCTGACACGTCGGCGTCATCATGCCACGTGTTGGTACTCAGAAAATATATCCCCACAACTGCCCCCTAGGGTCTATTACGTCGGCATTCTGAGGTGATGGAACCTATATCTGTATTTTCTTCTATTACCTCGGCGTAAGAGCTCTTTGGCCGAGATCATTCATGTTTTGCCCATATGTCTTCATCGGAGAATAAGAACTTCAAATGAATCCCTTTATGGGTATGAGCTGTCATACATCACTTTTCAACTGTTTTTTTTCACGCGTTACATCCTTATTGGCCTGTGTCCGTGACGCGCCTATAAGCCGTCTTTCATCCGTCTGCGCCGTCTGACGCACGCGTTCCTCCAGGCGCAATAAATACCGTTTTTTTTGCCGCCGTTTCAAGTTTTTTACAAAACTTTTCTTTCCCTCTTCCTTTCTCCACTTTTTGCATTTCTGATTTCTTGCTTTTTCTCTCTCTAAAAGCTCTAGCATTCTTCGAATCTGCCATTGCTCTAAGCCCCAAATTCTGCGACCGTCTTTATTCTTCCATTCCCGCGAAGCTTTTGCCACTGTTACAACTGTCGTCTGATCTCGGCGAATATCGCTCCGGCTTCATTTTATCCGGTAAGCCACTGGCCCCCTCACCCTCTTTTTCTAATTCTCGATTGTTTCTGAAGTTTCTTGCTATTACTGTTCTTCTTAGGCATTATTTGTGAATCATTCACCTGAATGCGTCTTATTTCATGATTTTTCACATGCCATGAACACTTTGCACTGTTTCACCACTGTTCTTGGCCCTTAACCCTTTGTATTCTTCGTGTTCTTGATAGCCCATCCCTGTTTTTGTTTCTGAAACTTCATTTTTGTTCTCTGTTTTTTGTGTCTTTACCAGATCTGTGCCCTCGATCTTCGTCTTTATAGTTTTAGGTTTGGGATTTGTCTGTAGAACCTTCAATCTTTAGGAAAAACTGAAACAAACCTTACCAGTCCTTACCCAGGTTTGAAACCGAGGTTCTAGCAACCCTTCTGAAACACCTATCTTTTGAAACACAGCCTTCTATGTTTAGGCCGACGTAATGGATATGTGGAGACACCGGGTAAACATCCCAACTAAACTTGAATTTTTTAGGCAAGAATTTTCCATTCCTGCCGATGTCCACCTGAGGCTGGCTGAAGATAATGACTCTATCATGCCCACGGATAATTCAATGCCCTTTCCTATAGTAGCTTTTACTGAGTGCGGACTCCGACTTCCACTCAATCCCCTTTTCGTGAGGTTCTCCACTTCTATAAGTTGAACCCCATGCAACTTACCATCAACTCCTATCGAGTGATTAATGGTATCATAGCCTTAACTAGGCAGGAAAATGTTAGGATCACCCTTGCCGATGTACAATATTGTTATACCATGTGCCCCCTTAACCTGAAGGAAAGAGGTTACGTCTACTACCTCAAGCCGAGGTCTACTGAATTCAAAATTATAGCCGACCTCTCGGACTCCAACAAGGGAGCCGGGGATGACTTTGTCATTGTTTCGGGAAATTGGGAATTTGGTCCAGACGAAGATGTTCACCTTTACC